AAAGGGAGAGAGTTTTCCAAAAAGGTGCATAAGTGATCTTCTTACTGCCTATCTTTAAAATATTATAAAACCTATTTATTGAAAACAATGTTTTATATTAATATTTTCACAAATAACCTGATATTAAAATTTTAGAGTTGCAGTCGGAAGCTGATTTAATGAACGGTTTTTTACCAGATTTCACGTTTATAATTTTTTTTCTCCGATTTAACCAAGGGCAATTTTATTCAACAAATTATAAAGCCCGAAATAACAAATTATTTGAGCAACCAAATAAAGAAGGTAAAATTTTTTTATATGTTTTTAACAATTTTTTTCCATACATTATGGCGTCTTTAGTTGTTGTTGTTGACGTATGCCTGTTTAGGCAGAGGGGGTGCGATTGTTCTTGTTTTCCAGTGGAGCCATCTATGGCCAAGAATTCGACTTCTGCTACACCATACGTCGCACCCGTTTATAGGGAAGACCCATTCATACATCCATTCATCCACAGATCGTAATTTTGACCTGAATTAGTGAAAGAACGATCTCCAATCCAGTACCCCCAGAGATATTGATTTGTTATAGGAACATGGAGGACTTTTGCGATTTGACAGATTTAACATGGGCCCAGCGCCCTACCGACCAGGCTATCCTTTAGTTAAGTTTATAGGAAGTTAAGTCTTTAGTTAAGTTTATGAAGATGCAAAAGAGATTTCACTCACATATTTTAATCACTAACTTCAATGCGATTACTTACAACAGTTAATTTTAAGGAGACTTAACATTTTTTTCTTCTTTTCCGACTACAATAAAGGCTAAACATCCTGTTTAACAAATTATAAATCCAAAATTTATAATTGATAATTTTTAACAGAAAGTTTTTTTCGACATTTTGACATCTTTCGTTAATTTTATAAAGATAGAAGCAGAAAATATCAATTTTCATTTATAACTGTCCCTCTCATTCTCCAATTTGCAATTTAAATAAAAAAACACATCTCGTTTTCCTCTGAAAACTGCACGTGTTTGTTTCTGTAACTAGGCTTTGGGACCTAGTCTTTCAAAAGAATAACAGAAAGTTCTTAATGAGGAAAATTATAAGATCGTTTGACAAAAAAGTACATTTTCCTCGTTTTGGATGCTCCTTATTCTTTGAGACAATCTTAGAATAAAATAATTATTTAAAATTCGATGTATTTTTAAAAGCTGAATAAAAAATTCGTAGTTTCTATGTATAAATATTTTTGTGTGGGTGTATGTTATAACTGTTCCATAAGGTCACCATAGAATTATTTCTTATGTTTTTTCTTTCTGACCTGGATAGTGCTAATATTTTATTTCAATTTTAGAAACAATATTTTCGGCCTCGATAAATGCATTAAATGAAAGTTCACCTGCAGATAGAAATAGAAAAATCATTGTCCATGAATTAAGATACATAGATATTCAGTATGCTAAATAATTAATAATTGTAACGAGTGTTCAACTGAAAGTTCCAGGTAAAAAGGAGGTTTATAACTAATATAATCTGACGCGAACATCTGAGCTTAATTCTTAATGAATATTTGCTGTAAATTAATATTTGAATAAATACATAAAATTGTTTTGAACAATTCACGACTGCGCGTGCTCATTGCAAATTTTGAACTATACCAGATCTTGAAACGCATTGGGGTAGGTTTTTTATTATTATAGAACTCAAGGCGCGTAGAAAACTCCGTCTGTAAACGAGTCTCTAGCCTCATAAGTTCGGACGGAGAGAAGAATTCTACTTTAAGAGAAGGATTCTACTTTATCTGTAGCTGCATTACTGGTCATTTTCATGCAAGTAAAGTTGTATAAAAAATATATCCCACTCTAATTTTTTTTTAAATACAAACTTTGGATTTTTAACCCCTGTGCGTGTGTTAAATGTTAGAATTAATACTTTAGGTAGATAACAAAAAAAATGCTGAAAGTGTACATTGAAAATGTATTACTATGGAATAAAATATTAAGCTTTCGTAGTACAATGAAAGAATTAGAGAGTAGAGACCCTATTATTAGCAATCTCCACTGACTGATGACACGCAATTTATTGATTATCAGTTATTTGCGTCAGAACATGAAGAATTTCTTTCCAAAAAAAGTTGGCAGAAATATATCCAGTTTAGCACTTAGTTGATTCCTTCCAGTCTAGCTCTTGCATATTTGACAATATTTTTTGAAGACAAATTGAAACTCTAACGAATTTATGCATTTAAAATTTTTGTTTAAATTCACTAAAATTAAATTTGCTTTAAATTAAGATGCAATAATGAATTAACGTTATCAGTTCACGTAATAATATTTGTACATGCATTATTTTCAAAAAAATAATATTTTTGTCGAACTATATTTGATTCACATATAGCTGCAATGACAATATTAATTTTAAGTTCATCAATTTTCCTTACGGTTTTCAATTTTTGTAGTTATAGTTTCAAAATCGAGGTGAGCAAATTTGTTTCATGAAGTTTCAATTTTCGTTTTATAAGGAATTGAAATTTTTTCACTGCATTTGAATAGTAGTAACGGTATTTTCGAACAGATAAATCTGAAACAATAAGTCAAACTTGATTTGGTAAAAATATATTTGAGAGTGCCCCCTTGGCGAAATTGTCGATTTTTGTTTGGTGCCATTCCTGTTCACGTGGAACACCGTGCAAAATAGAATGGCGGCAAAAACATAATGAAATGTCTATAAAACATGAGCCAAAACTTAATAAAATTGCAATGAACACAATATAAGCAAAATTAATAAATCCAATAAAATACATTTTGAATCGAAACAAATATTAAAGGGGTAAGCACAGAAAAAAAATAAAAAGTAGCCTCTGAAATTACATATACCGTTGAACATTCAAAAATAACGCTAAAATCTAAACCAATCAGAATCACGATTGGGTTTCCAGAAGAAAAAAAATTATAGACGTTCCCATAAATAAAACTATATTACCCAGCTTTGCGATCAACCGCGATCACAACTTGGCGAGAATCAAGGGGCACCCTCAAATATAGTCTAATCCCCTTGATTTATTAAAAAATTTATGATTTACTTGTAAAATTGTTTGTAACTCTTTTTGAGATATATTGCTGAAGATGTATTTCATCGACGAAATATTCGGTTAAAGACAAATGCATTTAACCTGCTATTTCAGCGATAAAATAAAAACAAAATATTATTATTGGTGAATTTTGGAAAAAATACCAACCACTAAATCAACGACTGGAGGCGAAAAGAAACAGCATCTGTTATCCGTGGGTTTACCTTAACAATTTACATATTTAGTAAAATTTCATTCTTTCCGATTTACAGACAATTCCTCAAACTCATGCAAATATGAAAAAATTTGAAGATGCAAATTTATCGTGTCTCAGAATTCGAATGTTTATTGGGGATCCTTCTTGTTTCTTGACCGCAGAATTAGCATATTAACCGTGTTATGGTGGAATGCATTCCGCAACAAGTCAGAATATTTGAAAAACTTTCGTCGTGGATGTTCCTTATCATTTCACATCAAGGTAGAAGAACACAGATTTTGAATTATTCCATAAAGTTGAGCTTCTTATTTTTTTTTATACAGGAGTTTAATAAAATACTAGGTGGGAAAACATTTTTTTCTTCTTAAATCTAAGAATAACTTATTCAAGCCTAGTGTTGAAATTCAAGTTGTTCTAAAGAAAAGGTTTTTTTATTTTATTTTTTATTTAGACTTTTATAAAAATATACTTTTTTTGGAAAAATATTTAAAACAAAAGTGTGATGGAAAAATTAAAACTCAAATATTTGCAAAACAGCATTCATTTTTATGAATTCAGCAATATTTAAATATAAAAAACATGTCAGGAAAAAAAGCTTATGCACTTTATTTGAAAGAAATTAGAATGGTGTCATATTATTAATATAATTTGAGAAACTAATTACAATTTTAACGTTTTAACGGTGTATCATTTTACACACCTTATGCTCGTAATTTTAAAATACGTAATTGTTACGGCCCGAATAAATATTGTTAAACAAATAACAAGCTGTTGAATTTTCAAACAATAATATGTGAACATTTGTTACCGAGAATATAAAGTGTTGGCCCGAATAAATATTGTTAAATAAATAAAAAGTTGTGGAATTTTCAAACAACAATATGAGAGCAGTTAGTAAAGCATTTTTTTTAAATTAAAAACAAATAAAAACAAACTTTTTCTCCTTTAAATTAAGGTTTACAAACATTTTAAATATTATCAGGTTGTATTTATATATTTAGTTCCAGCTTATTATCCAACACTCATTAAAAGATTCATGCGTAAAATGTTGACCGTTTAACTACAGTTACTAATTTCAAAAAACTCTTGACTTCGAAAACCAATTATAATTATTAACACAAATATTTCATGCTAAAGATAGTTATTTTATAATATTTTGAAACTTGACATAAAGCATTAGATTAATATTTATTTACCTGGATACAATATAAATTTAGTTTTTACTATAATTTATCATCTAAATTTCATAGAAATCAATTTAATTTGCTTAATATATATATGAACTTTTTTCCCATAGTATTATCTATCATATAATATTATTAAAAATATTAGGCATATTTTTCACATATATATTAGTTATTAAAATTATAATTAAACTTTTAATAGGATGCAAAATATATATCTATTTTTTGTATATGATATTAATAAAAAAATATATCTAATTATAAAGATTTCTATAATTGTTATGTTAGCTTAATGACATTAGTTGTAAAGTTCGTAAATATTACTATTTCCATGCCATTTGTGTTCTCTTTAATATTTTTTCGAATCTCCAGCCTCAGAAGTGCGGANAACGTTCTTATAGTGAGCCAGAGGACAAAAGAATGGGGTCAGAATTTTTAGGTAAAAGAATGGGATCGGAATTCTTAGGCAAGAGAATGGGATCCGAATTTCTGGGGAAACGAATGGGATCTGAGTTTTTAGGAAAGAGAATGGGATCAGAGTTTTTAGGCAAAAGAATGGGTTCAGAATTTTTAGGAAAAAGAATGGGCTCGGAATTTTTGGGCAAGAGATCGTATGAAGATGATGACACAATGGATGATTTACCTTACAAAAGAATGGGCTCAGAATTTTTGGGTAAACGATTAGATGATATCAGTGACGAAGAGCAAAGCCAGGAAGACTCTATCTTCCATTCCAATCGTTCTCAATCATCTGAACATCAGAAAAGAATGGGGTCAGAATTTCTTGGCAGAAAAAGGAGAGATGTCGAATTTGAACGGAAGTGGAATTCTGGAGCGTAGGGTGAGAGGGAGATGCAATACGTGTTTATTTTGTGTGTCTGTCTTCTTGTCGAATGTGTGTTTTGGAATGATCAAACGTGTTTGGACAACGCTCTAATATGGCACAAATACGTAACTGTATGTATTAGTACTAGTCCACGAATGAAATTAATATCTTTTTTTTTAAATTTCTGAATTTTAAATTTTATTTATTTTTGGATGACATACACAAATTTCGTGCTCCAATTATACTCTTGTAACCAATTTTTTTATTATTTTTCTTTCTTTGTTGTTAAGCTGCCGTCAAATAACATTGCTTATGGAAAAAAATCTAATGACTCATTGATTTCAATGACTAAAATAAATCAATGATTAAAATAATCAATAAGAATGAAAAATATCAATGACTAGTATTAATACATCCCTTTTTGACAGAAGTACGGGACATTATTTAGTGTGTTTTTGTGTTTATAAGCATGGTTTAGTTTTTTTTTAAATATTAAGTTTCAAATGTCAAGTTAATGTCTTGCATTCTTATATTGAATGATGAAAACATTATTTCATTTTTAATTCTTGATTTCTATTTTACAGTTTTTATTGCATGAAAAAACAGATGCTAGTTTAAAAGCATTCTCTGCATGTGAACATTCACTGCAAGCTTTTACTGCATGTAAATATTAAAAATTTATTAACTCTCCAAATTTTGAGCTGCATGTAAGTTTTATGTTTATATCATCACTGTATTTATTAGCTTTTATTCCTAAAACTTCCTTATCTCAGAAAAATTGAGAAAAAAGAAACTGAAAATAAAATAAGGCAAATTAGAAGACTTGAACTTTAAAAGGATCTAAGTGAAAAACATTTAATTTATAGAAAATATATGAAGTTGACACAAAAATACTAACAATTACATTTAGAGATTATAAAACTCTCTAGTATGTGAATCCTTTAAATTCTTGTCAAACTTGAATTAGCTCTAAAATTATTTTGAGCTCATACATTATTCATATGCCCTGACATACATGTGCTTTAAACAATTTGAATTAGAAAACTTTTAATGTTTTGAGTTTTACTTGGAAAATTTTACATTACAAGTCTTCAGTTTTAAAATGTGTTTGGAGAGTTTAAGCATGTTATGTTTGTATGAATAATTCTTCTTTGTTTTTTAGTTTAATTCATTTTTACAATACTTTAGATTCTCCCTTAAAAACTGATCATTACTTAGTAAAATTTAGATTTTTTTAGTGCAACTTAAATTAGAAAATCACAAACTCCAAATATGTATCACTGAAACATGAAATGATTTTTCATACTTTTTTTTTTAAAAAAATGCGTAAGTTACAAAAGGAAAAATGAGATTAAGTTTAACTTTCATTCGTAAATATCCGTCATATCTATATGTAAGTAATTTGCGTAATCACATATGATGAAAGTATAATCAGTTTTTGTCATTTTAGCTCGCATTGTTAGCAATAAACTTTTAATTTTTAATTTTTCTGTACAAGAAATAATTGTTTTATTGTATAGTTAATTCAATATCCAGTTAAGATTTATCTCCTACATTGTAATACTACTTAATGAAGAAGATAAAATTAACGTTAAATTATAACATAAGAAGTATTTATATAAAATGTCTTATAAGAAAAAAATGAATTTAATGTTAGTAAATATTTAGAAAATTAAATTTCCAAGTTAACGCTATGTAGTCTAAAGAATATTGTCTCCTAAGTTTAAAAAATGTTCAAAATCTATTAACATATTTTCGGCAAAAGAATATCTTAAAACAAGCTTTTACAGGCTTCTTAGTTTTTTTAATAAAGGAACAAAATAATTTATGCAGTTTAGTAATACAGTTTATTTCATATTTTTGACAGTAAAAAAATTTGGAAAGCAAAATTTTAGTTATTTTTCAGGAAAATTCAATACAAAATGAAAGAAATCATAATCGAAAGTCATTTATATTTTACAAATTTTGACTTAAAGCAATTTAAATGTCTTATATGTTTTGAAAAATTCATCTGTAGGTTTTAGAAACATTTAGAATTAAATAATAGAATAGCAAATTAAGTCATTTGACTCTTTTTGTTTACTTATTGTTATGCATTTATACCTCTATTATGAAACCCTTTGCATGTTAAGTTGATTGCAATAATTCGTTTTGTAAAAATGTTTATGCATTAGGTTAAAATGTTAACAAACTTGATTAAAATGTTAATGTTATTAAGTTGTCTCTAAGTTTTATTCGTATTTGTGCCATGGAATCTTTGAGCATATTCTCTGCCCTCTTTGTGTAAATTCTGATGACGTTTTCGTGGAATTCTTGAAATGAATCTTGGTTTGAAACTTGCATAAATATCTGCATGATATTCTACTGGGAGTGTACGATGCTGTGTCGACTGCATAATGCATTTCATATACTCGATAAAAATGTTTCTGCAAAAATTTGCAATTTAACTTTATTTTGCATGAGAACATGAGGTAAAGAAATTAACATCGCGTTAGAGAAACTGAATAAATATAAAATAGAACATGCATACATTCTCTAAAATAACTATAACTTAAAATTAATAATATTTTTCAGTATTACAAGGAATAAAGACAGTTTACACCAATATGTAACGCAGGACTATTAATGCATGTTAAGCATGTAACTCAGTGTGGGTACTTGACGATAAAAAAAAATGCATGGAGATAACAGTGTAAGCATGATCGAAACTTCCAAAGCATCTTGGCTTTATTTGTAACATTGTTTTAATTATTTAAATAAATTTTTAAGTGAGTTACAAAGGCGATATTTTTAGAATTGAAAGGTTGGAATAACCCATCTATTTTATCATAAGAGAAATTAAAAAATTCACTGAGAAAAAAAAATCTGGTTAAATTACCGTACTGTATGGTAAGGGCATTTCTTGTAAAAATTACCATACTTATGGTTAACCATTCATTTGGTAATTTTTCCGTTTATGTGGTAACGCTTTGCCAGAAATTCTGGTTTTGAAAATTATAATTTTGATTAACACATATTAAGAACAAAACAAAATTAAACAATCAAATAAATGCTTTTTTTATTCCATGCCTTAAGGAATCGTTATAAAATTTACCAAATCTTACCACATTTAGAAAGTTTTATCCTGCATTATGAAACCATATTTTACTGTTAATTTTACCAAAATCCTTAACAAAGTTCTTCGATAAAAAATGTTGCATTTTTGATATTTCCATAAAGTCAGAAACACGCTAAATTTTACTATTTTCTGGTATTTCTAAAATTAATTTTTTTTCTCCAGTGTAAAACGTGTTATGAATTTGGCTAAAAATAAATATTTCAGTGAATTTTTTAATTATTACTTATTTATTACTTTTATAACTCATTTGTACAATAAAGAAGGATGCTTAAATACTGTTAAGAACAATGTATTAATGTAAATAAAGTACGGTAAAACAAAAAAGAAAGAATTCTAACCTCCAAACAATTTACAATTAAAGTTTTTCCGCGTTTTAAAAATATTGTGGTCCAAAGCATTTGAATTTTAACTCATTTTTCTTTGAGCAAAACAATGTCACATTTATTTTTAACAGTTTTTGAATTATTAAATACAATTTTGGAAGTTGTTTTGTTCTTTGTATTTTCTGTTTTTTTTAATTAAAAAAATTAAGAAAAAAATCAGATAGAAATCAGGGTGCTCGAGTACAAAACAGCGCAAAATTACTGTTACATCCATATTAAATTTTAAAAATTTGAGACGTTTTGAGGCATGAAAGTGATAATTTTTTAATACTTCTTTCTTTAAGACTAATATAAGCCTCGAAAAAGTACAAATTTAAAATAAAAAGCATCGATAAAACTATTATAAAATAAGGAATAAAAAAATGAAAAATTCATTAATTGATCTATTTAAATAGCAGTTAGAGTTTTACAAGACATTTAAAACATAATTTAATGAAAACAAAAAAAAATTATTATTCGATGTTATAATTTCTTATCAATTTTAAAATTTTCTTTTCTGTAAAAAATAATTTGGAAGAGAAGGTTTTTTAAAAATATTTTTTAAAGTTTCAGAATATATTGACAAATAGATAATTGACTATTATTTGCTGATAATATTTTGATTGCTATTCTTATTGCAAATTTAATGCTATTAATGCAAATAAACAATAAATAATTTGCATTGAAAAAGTGAAAAAATTTGTAAAAAAAAATTTATAGCTTAAGGGAAAATTTGATTAAAAAATATTTTCTAGCTTAAAAATTATCTTCATGGGATTACCTTTTAGATAAACGGCTATTTTTTAATAAATCAATTTTTAATTTCATTTCAATGAATCAATAAAATATAAATTTTTCGAAGGACTTAAAAAAATAAGATACAAAAAATTCAATGTTTGAACTTGTGTTTTCTTTTACTTTAGAAAACAAAAGTAAATTCTAAATAACATCTTAAAAACTGTAGTTATACTGCTTTTAATACTTGAAATTAAGTTTATAGCTAGTTTTTCTTAATTAATCTTTTATCATTAAGCCTATATCTCTGAAGCATTTTGTTTTCTTACATGCAAAACTCAACGTAACATTCCAACTGTATCATCAAATGATTTAAAAGATTTCAATAACTCGAAACCTTTTAAATTTCTAATTTGCATCTTTAGAACGATTTATGCGTAGCAGCACGTAAAGTATTTCATCTTCCCAAAACCCTGACAAATAGGTGAATCTTCAAATGCAATTCACGATTATTCTTTTTTTTATAGGACCTCAGAGAACGTTTACGAATATTTGAATGAAAGAGAGAGAAAAAAAGAACCTTTTTGAGTTTCATCAGTTAACAATGAGATTTGTATTCTCAAAAAATCATTACTAAAATGCATTTATTTGATCAAACGCTAGTGGTGTCGGGATATTCAGAAAGAATCTATTCTTATCTTTTTATTAGCTAACTATAACAATGTATTCAAATGTTTTATTCTGATCATCCTTTAGATATGTAAATATGAGAATATATTTAAATTTAAGTTTTTCTGGATTACTTTAAGAGCGGTTTCATTCAAATGTAAAGATTGAATTCTTTATTCGTTTAAATCTTTCATTGTAAAATGATATATTTATGTTTAACGTAAAACGAAACGTTAGATATTTTTTTGTAATACGTTCATCAAGAAGGAATTTAGATGAAAACACGAGAAATATTAAAGAAACGTTTAAAAGGAAAGTGTTTTAAATGAACTTTAATGCAAAAATTATGCAATACCAAACATATTGAAAAATAAGTATAATGCATATTTATAATTATTTTTTAAAAGCCTAAGAATACCAAACGGTAATTTTGGTATCGGTAATAATCTAAAACAAAAATTAAAAATAAAACATGCATTGTTAAAAATACTCTTCTAGAAGAAATATTAACGTAATTTTTCCTTGGAAAAAACTGTTATTTTAATACTCAATATTAAAAAGTTTGAAATTTTGACATAAATTCTTTAAAAAAAAATTTTAAGAAAAAAATAGATCGATTTTTGAGTTTGCTAATTATTCCTAAAAACATCTTTACTTTTACAATTTGTACAATGTTTATAGTATATTTATTAAAAAATATTGCTTGGTAAAAGATACGGAATACTTAAAATTAATTCTGTATTTTTAGATCAATTTTTGATTTTTCGATATGCGATGCGCGTTAATTAAGTAACGAGACCTTTTTTTTAAATATTTTTTTTATCCGAATAGAATTGCAAATTCAATAATGTCTCCCTCGACGGTGATGGTTTTTCACTTTTAATAACAGTACTGAAACTCGTGAACTGTAAAAGCCTTTATCTGGTTGGTGAAACCTTTTTCAATGTTTTCCTGTTTCCGAAAATATCATTTCTTGAGATTAATTTTCAACTTTGAATCATAAGAACTCTAGTCGGGTGAGTCAGGTTGAGAAACCTCAGAAATGTGTTAATTGTTGCCTGAAACACGTTTAAAGACATTGCTGTGTAACAATAAGTTTTCCGTTCTCGATGTTTGGTCTCACAGCCGTGATCCCTTCTGTAATTCAAATTTATTGAATTATTCAAAATATGATGCATGATGGTATGATACAAATTCATCTGGCTTAAGCTCATAATGACCATCACTCAATGATAAAAAAAAATCGACATTCCGGATTCTATCAGCATTTCCATCGGTTCTTGCCGTTGAAGAACTTTCATTGTTTGATTTCTCTTCGACTCTCTTCCTTCTGAAATGTCTTAAGCCATTGAAAAACTTAGGCTGTTCTCAAAATACTGTCTCCACAGACTCACTGGAGTTTTGCAAATGTTTCCATTGCACTGTGTCTAAATAGTAAGCAAACTCTGATTGCATGCTGTTGCTCCATAATAATGTAATTTTTTTAAAAACACTACAAAGACAGATTTTAATAAGAATATGACTTTGGACAACCACATTAATCTGCTGAGTTCCCAGTAAATCTGAGTCTGAAAGAGTAAGAGATGTTTACCTACTGCTCCTCGAAGTTTGGTAGGTCCATCACTGCCGCTTTTTTACATCAGCATTTTATTAACTGTTTTAAAGTTCTTCTCTCAGTTTTTTACTTTCTCATTACCTGATACACATTTAAACGTTTACTTGAAATTTGGGTTGGGCGTAACTTAATCAGGTTCTTAACTAATGTATTAGAAGGAATTACTCATACTTTCTAAACTCTAATTTTCTAACTAATTTTTCTTAATAAAACGACTGATTTTTGTTTTCATGAATACTTAAAATTTGCTTTGAGCATATATTACTCTGTTTTCCCCCTGAGATCTCTGTTATTAATCTTGAAATCTGATAATAAAATTAAAAGGTAATTTTGCTTATTTAATGTATATAAATATCGTCTGTAACTCACTTGCATTTAAAAAAAATATTGCCAAATGTCTTTGGAATTTTATATGAAACGATCTATCAAAAACAGAAATGATATGTATGATCTATTTAATTTCCTGTAGAATGAGAAACAGCACAAGCAGCTGAAGCGATGTGTATTCTTTCTCGCTGAAAAAGGTAAGAATAAGAAATGTGTGTCGGTGAGTAGAAGGGAAAATAAAATGAAGATAACTTTTTAATCATACTCCTCGGAAATTCGTTCAGTATGATTCTCAACAAATGCGCGTAAAAAAACAGCGAGTTATTAAAAAAAGAAATAAGTTCTAACTTTTTTTTAAAAACCCAATAATGAATTTTAACTTTGAATTATAATTACATAATAAGCTTTGAGTGTATAAGCAGTTATTCATGAAAGAGAGAATTAGGAACTCAGATATCGATTCGTTACTAGGCAACGAGCCTAGAGATATGAAAACTTCTATAATGAGGGATAGGGACAGAAGAATTTTAATTTTATTCAACTTGTAGCTGGCAAGCAAGAAAAAAGAAGAATTTTTATATCCCCATTTAATATAAATCCCATACAGAAAAATTTACTATTTTAATTAACATTTTCAGAGTTGGGAATTAAGCGGAATTAATTTACTATCAACTGTTATTACTATTTCAGCTTCCATATTTCGCTATTACAATTCCGAATAGCACAGTAATTCATTTATTTCGTTACTATATTTAAAAATATCAAATATTATCACTCATCTGCTCTGAAAATGTCGACTTATTAGTAAAAAGTGTGGAAAAATATGCATATATGCAATAATATTAATATTAGTCATAAAGCAATTTTGTAACATTTATAAATAGATTTAAATCCCTATTAACAAGAAATTGTATGAAATAAAATTTTAATATTTTTTCTAGTTTCCCTTTATGTATTTATACAAAAAAAAATTTTAAAAATTTCCTTTTAAAAATAAGTAAAATTTTTGTAATTAACTAAAAAAATTTAACTAAAAAATTGAAATATTAAAAATTATAACTTAGAAGAAGTTTTGTGTCTTAAAATTTAAAGATTTTTATCCCTCTGCAAAAAATCATCAAATAAAAAAAGTTAATAATAATTAGTTAAATAAAAAATATTCCTTTAGGTGCTTACATATCAGATATATCTTTTGTAAAGATGTATTTAAAAAAATTTATCTGAAAAAAGGTACAGTTTATTAAAATCCATCAAACAATAAGCAATTTTTTAGTTGCATAATTTCACTGAAAGGTATAATTAAAAATTAACATGTTCAAAAGAGTAGAAAAGCATAAAAATAAGATAATACACAAATTTTCTGAAGTGTTAAATGTTAAGCACCCTTCAAATGTGTTGGTATAATACTTCCTCCTCAAATGATAAGGTATTAAATAAGATTAGTTCTACTTTTTCTTGTGACTGCATTTTAAACAGGAATTGAAGCATAGAAGCAAAGGTGTTAAAGTTTTTTTTTAAGTAGAAATTTTTCTTTGGTATCAAGAAGGGTAAAAAAAAATATTTTAGCAAGGTAATATTTTTTGTCAATATTAGTTTTCTATCTTTCATTATTATGATCTTCCAAGCATTGTTTAAACAGTTTAACAAATATTTAGTTTAAAAAACACCTATATATTTCTTTTAATAGAGTTTAAAATATTGACAGAATTGCAGTTTTTCTAAGCTCTTTCATATGGTGAGTTATATTTACCCACCTTGTATAAGTTTGTACGAAAGAGTAACTACGACGAGATTAATAAAAGAATTTATTGACGTGCTTGTTTTTCATAGCAATTTTTACTGTCGTAAATTTTGAGACGATGTAAAACGATGTTGCGAAAGAATAGAAATTACTTATCAGCAATAGAACCTAATATAGAAAAAATTGTTTAAAAGATCGTTTACATTTATGATCGCATTTGGTTAATGTCCATATGCATACATTAATGTTACACAATACTCTCATATTTTTACGCTATAATAATTACTTTTATGCCATTCTCATTCAACATTATTGGTAACTTTGCGTGAACAATTAACAATGTAACAATTTAATCAATTTATCACAGTCATTATAATGATTGGAAAACTAAATTTAGAATTTTATTTTCATTTAAATTTAAAAAGAAAATGCTTTTAAATCGAAATAATCGTAACTTTTTTTCGATAACATAAATATATGATTTAGTTCTTAATCTTCTGTTCCAAATACAGACACTAGATTTTAAAAAAATAGTTTGGAAATACATTTCTCTTTGAAATACTTATATTTTATAGATAATAGTTTAGTTATAAATTAAATTACACTCTACAGTGATTGTAGATTTCAATAACAAGGATATTACAAATTTTTCAATTTTTTTCTTAAAATAAATTTTCTTAAATTTCTTAAAACAAGCAATCACTTTTAGAAAGTGCATTGACCTATTTGAAATGTTGCTTTTTTCACAAAATATTTACCAACTAATTTTATGATTTTTTATTATATGAATTTTTATTATTGAAATATAAATAATAAAAATTGTAAATTCAATACATCAGAGTAATAGAACTATCAATTAATATTAAATAAAGATGTCGTAGAAATATTATTTCGAATGGAAGTCTTAAAAGTAAAATAACGATTAAATATGTTATTCTACACATTGTAAAATATTCGATAAAGAAATAAAAGTATTTCACTTACAATTCTAAGGGAAAATGTCTTTTTCATCTAGCAATTTGCGAGTACAATAATAATAGTAGGCAACCGAAACTTAACATAAACTTTGCAACAGAGCTGCAGGAATTATAGTCTTTTTGTTGCAAATTATTCTGATATGAATGCAAAGGCGAAGACTTCTTTATCTCTTCAAACGTATTTTTAGGGCTCAAATAACAATCATTTTGTAAAAGAATAATATTAAAGAAACGCAATCTCATTTATTTTCAGATGTTATCTCTACAAAAAAGGCTCTGCTTTCGTCCTTGCTTGAAAAACTACAAATAGTAGAGTAAAATAATATTTATTTTTTTTAAAACAGTACCTCACAAACAATATATATTTTCCTACACAGCTTCTATACCAGCACAAAATTACAAAGAAAAGAACATTTTCATCCAACTAGCTGCAAGTAAAAATAAATAATTTCTTTTAATATCGTTTGGAGTTTTTAAAAAGATGTAGATCAGTTAATGAATTTTAACTTTCGGAAATGATTAAAAATATCGTTTGAATAAAAAAAACTGTTTGCAGCTGAATTTAAAATCAAAATAGAGTAATTTGTTAATGGGGTACCTGCAAGTGACGTATTATGGGTATCTCGATCCTGATTGATTGTTGAAACTTGGAATTTACTTATGTTAGCAACTGTTCTTTCCATTTATTTCAAGTAAGCCAAGACCGTCAAGTATCAGTTCTCTTAAGTGACAAAATCTATATTCTTACCCATAGATTCTTTAACAAAAATTATAATTCTTTCGCTATATGTTTCTTACTTTACACAAAGATAGGCACGAAACCATGTAGAACATCGGTAAACTAATTATGCATCGTCAAAAAAAAATTTAAGTTAAGCAAAAGACGTGGGATTTATTTAATTATATATATATATATATATATATACACACATATAATACATACAAACAAAAATACTTGTTTAACCTGAAAATAATTCCAAAAGAAAAATACATTGCCACAAAAAAATACAAGAACTACATATTTTATAATTTAGAGCACTTGACNTATATATATATAAAAGATTTCGCATTCCAAGACTTTAAAAAACCTCTTTTTGTAGAATAAATACTACTAACTCAAGCATTTGATCAAAATTTAAAAGCTTATTAAAGCATATTTTGCATTTCTCTACATGCTACGCAAAGACACTTAAATACTTTTCCAAAATTCCAGAAATTACGGAAATGCACTTAAAGAGTTGTTCTTTAAGTTTAAATTGCAAATTTAAAGTTAGGAATAGAATTTAGTCAAAAGAGATGACGAAGTTGGCAAAAGGACGTCTTTAGAACATTAGCATTTCAGTGTTTGATGATTGCTTGTTCTAAACATTGTTTAGATGACCTCTTTGAATTCATGGCATTATATGTCAAAAACTCTTTACTGGTTGAAGAATTAAAGAAAAGTTGAATATTTCAGGGAAAAGTCTAAATATTCCAAATTTTTTTTAAATCAAGCAGTTCATTTCGAAAAACTTATGTTTCATACTTTTTGTCATTTAAAAAAAATAGGCAATGAAATTATAAAAGAAAACTATTATTTTTCCATATTTTAAATTCACCATAATTTGATCATGTATCCCTTTGTTTTAAAATGAATTTAGATCTGCGCACTAGAAAAAAAATGTATTTAAAATGCAATGAATAAATATTTTCGGAGACAGGAAATTTAATTGTTGTACAGTAATCAAAATAAAGAAAAGGAACACCCGAATAATTTTTCATTTAGTGATGGGAACCACACGTTCTATGACTCATCCCTAATGGAAAAAAAATGTCGTATATTCAAAAACCGATTTCTCTAAATCTATTCGACTAATTTTTCTCAAAGCTTGTATAATGTTTTACAAAATTATAATCTTTAGAATGATGTAAAAACGAGTATATTTTGCAATTAAATTTTTTCGAATAATATTTAAAAAATTATAAGTACTTAATTATTATTTAGTGCATAATAAGTACTTAATAATAATTATTTATTACAAGCATGGAATTAATTACCTTTGGGTACACGAATTTTATAATTATGTGCAAAACTTCTTGGATTCTCTTAAAAACAACCCAGATTGGCATTTTTGACTAAAATTTTCAGAAATCTACTCTTTCTAATCTTTAAACTACCCAAAGAAATGTTTTAGTTTAAATGTTTCATTCATTTTTTTATATGCTGGAATACCTGAAACGAACTCCAATATCTGATAAGTTATTTCTGAATAATGACTTTGCTGTTCAAGTAAAAAGAATATCTTGTTTTCTTTTAGGGTCTTAAGTGTAAGTAAATAAATGAAACAAAACCACGTTTAATCCAAAAATCAACCGATTTATAAAAAACTATTATCAATATGTAATTTACAGTATTGAAGCTATTTAGCTACGAAATTGTTTAGTTATTACATATTTGTGTATTTTGGGATAGTTATGATGAAAAGTTTTAGAAAAGAGTGCATTTTCATTTTTTTCAAAAAAAAATGGTTCAGCATTAGCCTGTTTCAGATCCAGAAGATACCTACTCGCCAGAATGGATGTCGGAACGCAATGAAAAGCGTCTATCGGAATTTTTAGGAGGACCAGGAAAAAGAGTATCCGAATTTCTGGGTGGACCTGGAAAGCGAATGTCTGAATTCCTTGGTGGACCCGGAAAACGTGTCTCAGAATTCCTTGGAGGTCCTGGAAAGAGAGTTTCCGAATTTCTAGGAGGTCCAGGAAAAAGACATGCTGCTGGAAACGCCATGCACGACGTCCTTCAAAAAAGAGTGTCCGAGTTCCTTGGGGGACCAGGGAAAAGATCTGACTACTATGATTTTCTTGAAAACTCCGATAGAAGATAATTCATAAATTTAATGTTTTGAAAGCCTATAGAAGAGTTTCTTTTGAGGTTTGCTTAGTGGATAGCGATTGGATAACTTCTGGATTTTTTGATGCCAAGATTTATATTTGTGTTTCCTTTTTCTTTGACTTGAACTTTATCTGCCAGAAAAAATATGTTAATGAAAAAAATGTTAACAAAATATATTGTTTTCCCTAATGTTTGTAATTATAAAAATACACAATGGAATAAAAAATATGCAATGTGAATATCTGAATGTTGTATCGTGTTATGTAAGAAAATATTTTAAAATATACAAAAAAAAATCTTGTGGATATTCAACCTATAAATAAAATTTTTCTTCCCAAAATGTCTTGAATAAAATTCATACATCTATAATTACTATACTTTTTCATACATTCATCAAAAGTGGGCTTAATTCAATTTTTCATGAACGATAAAAAGAACTGAACCCTAAATTGATAACCGTGCTTTCCAATTAACACTGACTAAGTCGTAAATTGAAACAATTGGCTTCCTAGTTAGAATATCTTTCTAAATTGAGTACTGTTTTTTCTGATTAAAATTGACACTCTCCTAAACTGAAACAATCGACTGTCGAAAAAGAAGAGGAATTTTCTAAATTAGCATTATATCATTTTGCCATTTTCAAGTTAAAAACGATCTTTTCATTTCTTCGTAAATTTTATTCTCAGATTTCTGAATAGAACTATCGTTTGAAACATACTTGTAGAAGTTTAGGTAGTTGAGCATTTAGTTTCAAAATAATATTAGCTAGTCATAATAGATTGATACGACATATAAATTGATAAAGATAAAAATTTGTCACGTTATATGACTTTATTCACAAAGAAAAAAATCAATATTTTGACAAATCACATATATAAATGAATACAAGATATTACAAATTTAAATTTAATACAGATTCAATCTTCAATTGACTGTGAGAGCATAACTACTGCTTCTCACACCCAGGGTAATACTTAGTGTTATACGGTACACAGGTAATATCTGCATCATTTACTAAATTATTTTTATTTTCCAACATGAAATGTCAAACACATCAGCGGCAGCTAAACAATCTTATAGTAATAAGTGTGTGGTGAGCACATTATGAGGTCATTTACAGTTGGCTATATGTTATATCCGAGAGGGCTATTCTTTCAATCTCAGATACGACAGAACGGGGACAATATTTCACCATGGGGACATCACAATATTTTCTCCATTCCCTTCAACACAAGAAGAGTTTCCAGTGCCCTGCACTCCCCTGTTTGTGACCCTGGACTATTAGAATACAGTACTCTCATTCACGCATTGATGGTAGCACCATGCCCAGTTAAATTTCTCTTTACGACTTTGAAATAATGCTAATTGTAAATGGTTAAAAACAGTATAGTTTTGCATTCATGGTTTTGCTCACAACTTGTTGTAAACTAGTTGTAAATGGTTTCAAAACCGTAAAGGTAAAAAATATTCTTTACAGTCAATTTTACAGTTAATTGGATAGACAGACTGCTGAAGGTTATTTTACCGTAATTTTATTATGAAAATTCCAACTGTGTAATAGTTTCAGACTTATAAGAAATTTAAAGCACAATTTTACACAAAATGGATAAAAAAATATTATTCGTAATTACATCATTTATTTTCTCAATACTTGAATAAAGTTCAACAAATAAAAATTATTGAATATTAACAGGCACTAAACAATTACAGACATCGATTTCCTTAAAAAAAAGTCTAACACAAAATGTAAAAGCAAATGCAAAAAAGGAAAAATAAATATCAGTTTACAATTTCATAGGATACGTTAGTGCTTATCCGACTTGTAGTTCCCAAGAATGATATCGCTAAATAGGGTACCACATAAATTTTATAGTATGGGTGCATTGGAACTTGCGATTGTTCCCGCAATGTACACAGACGAGAAAAGAACAACACCAAGAAAACAATTTTGAAGAATAATAAAATTTTGGCAATGCGCTTCTCTGAGTAACATATTTAATTGATTAAAGCTTCACGATCACAGATTAATGCAATTCAGAGAAAAACCATTTCAAATTTGAAATACTTGTACATTAATAATCAGTGTAACCACCAAAATTCTAAATGCAAGCATGCAAGCGGGCATGCATTCTGTCATACAGATACTTTATCAATTTGTGGGAGTTTCATGTTTATCGCACTTGGTCAGTCAATACGGAAGTAGTTATTGTTGGTTGTGGACGATGCTAAAGTTGCCATGCAATGATGTCCCATAAGTGCTCGATTGATGAAAGATCTGGTGATCTAGCAGACCAATGCAACATGTCGATATTCTGTAGAACATGTTGGGTTACAACAACAGCAGGAGGGCTAGCGTTATCCTGTCGGAAAGTACCACCTTGATTGTTTAAATTTATTCATAGAATTAACTGCACTTAACCATTGCATTTTAACGTATGCAATGATTAAGTAGATGATTAAGTGGCAAAAATCAAGTGATTTACCCTAAAGAAAATTACAGGAAGTATTGCTGTGCTCGTATGACATTATTGCTGAAGGTGAATATTTCTTTTTCTCAGATCTCTCCGTTTCAATGCATTAGTCTACGGGAATTCAGCGTTATGAGTCTTTAGGTAATTTAAACACCCTAATTTCAGATAATAAATTAGTACTTGGAGGCATAGTGCACCCAAAAGCAGATCAACTATCACTATTTGCAAACGAGTTTTTTTGCCATCGGAAACAAATAATTATTTTAAAAATAACTCGAAAGGTGTTGTAAAAAAAAGAAATCAATACAAGCGAATTTTCTACCGGAACCTCTGCAAATATACTGCCCCCTACCGTTGAGAACACAAAACGTAGTTTTAAAAAAAGATATCACATTTATGATTTAACATCTACTAAAAATTCTAATTACATACCTAGAATATCAGTCGATTATAAAATATTATACGTCAATAAATGTGTCCTTGAAATTAGTTACAAGCATGTGCGTGCATTTTATTGTTTCTTTAGCTAATTATTTCATTACTGAAGAAAGAGGCAACATAACAGCATAAAAGGATTTTACATTACTAGTAACTAACTAGCATTATAAAACTAACTACTCTTACGCGTGAAATATAATTAGGTTTAGCCATTGAAACAACTTGATTCTTTTAATTTTAATTTCATTTGAAATTATTTATAATGAGAAAATACAAGACGCAGTTAAATTATCTGTAAGTGGTTTGTACTTATTTGAAAACTTAATATTATAATTGTTCATACTAACACCAGGTTGTAAATTTAAAAAATTGTGATACATGCCAGTATGATCTACAGAACAAAATATAGACTCATAAGACGGTAATAATTGTAAAGCAACATAACAAAGCATAAAGTTATAACAAATCAAACTAAATTAATAAAATACATAAATTGATCAAGTAAAACAATTGCGTTTAAGAATATAAATAGTATAATTGCATATTTTCACAAGTTGTTTTTCCACTTTAATTGATATGACAACATAAATATATCATTCTTTCTTTGAGACATTTAAAATATGCACTATGTCACCATGACATCTATACATGACAATTGTTTCCTGAAGACATTTTTCTCCTATTTTGTAATTTAAGAATATACCAGTTGAACAAATGCTATACAATTAATTTCACAAAATGGTTTCGGTTTAACAAATATAACAAAGTTTAGTTCATGGCATGTAATAAAACGCAAAACAATAAAAGTTGTTAGTTGAAGTAAAAAAATGTAATAAGCACAAACGAAGATTAGTTTCAGTACAATACAGAAATATCTACTACTTTACTTAGTCAAAAAACATTAATCATTTATGCAGTACTATACATATTCTTTTCCTCGGAACAAACAAATATACTTCTGTGTCTCATCTAATAACATTTATTTTTACTTATTTTATCACCAGCACAACTTTAACCATACTTTATATTCGAGAACTAATTCTAAAGATAATAAGTTATCTAAGAGAATATTCTTTGAACAACATGTATGAGTTATATTCAATCTAATCAATGTATTATAATCAATCTTCTAGCATTTAAAATTGTTGAGAATTTAATTGATGCATGTAATTTTTAATTCGGTTTTGTTTTAGAAATAGCTTTTGACTACTTAGTTGAAAATCGACTTATTCAGTACGTATCTATAATAAACTGTTTTATTTTGTTTTATGTTTATTTATTTCTTTTAGCTATTTGAGAGCATATTCTTCCTTTCTTTCAAGTCTGAATGTTTTTACCCAAGTGGTACATTTTCACACTTATGTATTTTTTTAACTTCTAAAACTTAAAAGGTGTAAGACTTTTTCAGTTTTAAAATTTTCGACAAATCTTATCAAATATAATTGAATTCTTTGAAAAATTTAAATTTTTAATCAAATATTTTTTTTTAAAAAAAATGCTGTTATTATTACTGTACCGGAAAACTAGGTATACATCAAAGGTACACTGTAAAAAAACTCGTCAAATCGTTAACCAGTATTTGGAGAAAAGTTTCTCCTTATCCCAAAGTTTTGTTAAATGAAAGATCATTTTATTTTAATTGCACCTTAAATTGTGAACTATGATCGAGAAATGCTTGGTGCAACAAACTGCACACCAAAATTTGATAAAAGATTCGAAACGTTGACGGTGACTATAAACTGAACGATATTTGTTTACGACGCCATGTTTTCTTTACAACTCGGTTTCGGTTTATCGGAATGACTAATGCATGTTTTTAAGTATCAACTTACTTAAGTAGGTAACTGTTTTATTTGCATTAATTAAAGTTCATTTCACTTATGTTGCCTTTTTAAATATGGTTAGTGGTATTAAATGGTTGATGTATGTCATAAACCAGTTTATACCTACTTACGGTTAATGGTAACGTTAGTTTGCATTAGAGAGCTTTAAAATAACTGATAATGGTGCAATTTTCCTCTGCTTTTATAAAAGAAAAAATTAAAAGAAGTGTTTTGTTTCTTCAAACACCAACTCTTGGTGCCAAAATATGGTACCAAAATATCCAAACCAAAATATGGAACTATTGAGCTCTACTTTATGTAGCCAGCAATGGTGTAACGTGACTCGGAATTTTCAACAGTGTAGGAACGAGATAATTATCTAAACAATCCTCGTATTCTCAGATTAATAATAGGTAAAATTGAACGAAATGATAAAAAAATTAACATTCTCTATGTTCTCTAAATACACGAAGAAAAAAATTATAGTATAGACATTTCTGGTAAAAAAATAACCAAATTCTGGTTGATGAAACCGAAATATACGTTTTTTAAACAGTTTATTCGGTAATTTTAAAAAATTATGGAGCTATTTGCGTTCC